GCACCTTAACCGCCACGCCACCTGCTGGCCCACCTCTATTCTTGTTTTTACGAGTTCTGGGACACTGCGCGACACAAAATATAGCACTTATCTAGAGGGCCTGTCCATGAAGCAACCCACCAAGGGAGTAGACAGTAACTTGGGAGACTGGTACCTCAATGGGAGTAAATTCCAGAAGTTCTGGGGGATTACAGGGGATACCCCTAAGTCATATAGGGGTGGGGTGTGTGACAGGTGCCAGGGAAGGTTTCTCAGAGGCAGTGCCCGCTGGGCTGAATCCTGAAAAATGAAAGGGAAGAGGAAGGGATATCCCTGGCAGGGACGCGGTATTTACAATGGCGGGCTTCAGGACACGTACGTGCAGTCGGACTTTGGTAGGGGTGGAGCAGGGAACCGCCATGGGACAGGCCAGGATGGGAACCATTTACCGATTTCAAGTGGCACAGTGATAGGAACAGATTTGTATTTTAGAGCCATCTCTCGGGCTGCTGAGAGAAAAGTACAGAGCCGGGGGCCCAGTTAGGAAGCGCTGGAGAGATCCAGCAATGGGGAGGGCAGTGTGGCCTGACAAGAGAGGAGGTGGGAAAGGTGGGTGGAGCCGGGTACTCTTCAGGAGGAACGAACCGGTCATGGTGACTGACTGCACGTGTGAGTGGAGGGCAAGAGGAAGCAGCAACGTCTGGTCTGGGCAACTGCTGTTGGAGGTGACCTAAGGAGATGGGCACCCGGAGGGAAGGAGGCGGAGAGGTGGAGGAGCCCAGGGCATGTTCAGATGGTGACATCCAACAGGTGGCTGGGTCTACAGGTCTGGAGTTCAGGAGTGACCTAGGCTGACTGCAACCATGGGCATCATCCCCACACAGCTGTGATCAGTGAGCTGCATCCTGGCTGCACAGCAATGGCTTTTGGAGCTTGTGTGTGTGTGTGTGTGTGCGCACGTGGGTGTGTGCACACATGTGCACACACACACACACTTCCTTACTAAACATGTCCATGATTTTTCCTTACTTGTACTAGGAGTGGAGGTAGAGGCCAGGGCATTGTGTAAAAGGGGTAAAATGCACTGGAGCGAAACAGAGGGAAAGTTCATTTATTAGATAAAGCATTTCAAAGAATGATGCAAGTGGCAGAGGTGTATTTTTGGCAGAGGAGGTGTATTTTTTACCAAGTGGTAGCCAAATACTTTGATAGGATTTGTAGTCCCTCCTCCCTCACCCCCAAGTATTCAACTACATTTTGCTTCAGCCAATTTCAAATTTACATTTCAAAGTCTAAGAATGGACCAGCATCGAGGACCAGCAGGTGACGTGGTGGTTAAGGTGCTGGACACTACCACATGGCTGACCATGGTTCGAGTCCAGGACCTGGTGGCTTATTTTCTCACTTGCTCTCTCTCTCTGATCAAATTAAAATAAATGAATAAAATTAAATAAACAACTACTTAAAAAAGAAAAGAATGGATCAGCAGCTCATCCATTCACCAGCATGTAATCAAAATTCTTTGGGTATTATTTTATGGGGCCTGCTATTGTTAACTTCCGACGAGCTCTTTGCTTTCTCAACCGGAGAAATGAGGCCTTTGGGAAAACTATTTTTTTGCAATCTGAATTGATGAGTTGGCTAATTTTCTGACCTTTGTATTTGTATTTTTTACCTTTTTACCATTTTAAGAAACAAATCTCTCAAAAAGATTTTATTAAATATAACAGTCTACAAACATAGAAATACCTTGAACTCTGTACCTCTCATAGAGCAGAGGTCTAATAATACATCATACAAGGGCTAAAATACGTCCAAGGTAAAACATCAAGAATGGGCCCACCCCTACAGGTTAAGTACTTGTGACCTGGACCCTCGGCTCATAAACCCAGGATTTAGGTTTTCACTGCATCGTGTTTCATTATCTTGGTCCAATTACCAAGAGGCATAAAGCATTTAAAATAAACACATACATTCTTTATCTACTACCAATGTAAATATCACAGTGGTCTCCAACCATCCTGGCACCAGGGACCTATCTCAGAGAAGATACCGGTCCACAGGGTGTGAGGGAGTTGGTCCTGGGATGACCCAAATGCACCACATCCACTGTGCTCCCCACTTCCACCACTACCACACCACAATTATAATAAAGCTATCATATGGCAAAAAGGTCCACGTCCCCATGAGAATCCAGTATCGCTGCTGATTGGATAGGAGGCAGAGCCCAGATGGGAATGAGAGTGCAAACACAGATGAAGCCTTGCTCACTCGGTGCCTATGCACTGCTGTGTAGCCTGGCTCCAAACAGGCCACAGACCACCACTGGTGGAGACCCAACTTGTAAGATGTCCACAGCGTCTTTTAAACATTTTTCTAAAGAATTACTTATTTACTTATTTACTTTTATTTATCAACATTATTGTTTTAACTAGAGAGAAAGGTAAAGCGAGAAAGCAAGCCACCAGGTCCGGGACTCAAACTGTGGTCAGTCATGTGGGAGTCCAGCAACATAAATGCTCCACCACCTAGTGGCCCTGTAGTGTCTACTTTTTTTTTTTAGAGAGAGATTTTCTGCTATAGGGAGTATGCACTCCCCAGAGAGAGACAGAGAAGAAAGTGAGAAGTCACCCCCTCAGGGGGGATGGCCATGCCACAATCCCTTTTCCTCCATTCTCCTCTTGGGATTTTGGGCACGTATTCACACATGCCCAGTGTGAGTTTTAAGTTGCCAGGTCCAGAACTCAAACCACAGTCAGCCATGTGGGAGTCCAGCGACAGAACCATTATGCCATCTGCTGGTCCCCACAGTGTCTATTCTTAATTTACCATTTCCAATCCCTTTTCAGATTTTTTTTTTTTGCCATAGGGTATGCTTACAGGAGAGAGACAGAGACAGTGAGGGAGAAAGTGAGAAATCATGCTCCCACTCCAAGGGGGAATAGCCACGCTGCAATCCCTTCGCCTCCATTCTCTTCTTGGGATTTTGGACATGCATGTACAAGTGCCCCATGGGATTTTCAGGCCCTTGGGTCTGGGACTTGAACTATGATTGACCACGTGGGATCCAGCCACCTTAACCAGCACACCACCCACTCCCCCTGCGATCCTGCTGTTTAGCTTGAGTAGAACTTATTAACACCAATTACTAAAAGGTCCTGAAAGAGGACTTTGTCCAACACCTCAGGCTTTAGGCATGGCAAAGCTGAGGCTCAAAACCCTCAGGTCAACTTCGCTGCGAGGTGACCAAGCCTGACCTGGGCTTCTAGTCTAATCAGCCTGACTAGTGCCTCGGTTGTACCGAGGGATGAGGGAAGAAACAACTGCAAGTCTTCAAAGACCGCACAGCTTTCAGGAGTCTCTGAGCCTACTCTTGGTTCAATACTGATGGAACACAGCTCTGTCTTCCTTCAGCATCTACCACCACGCTCCTCCTCAAAGACCTGGGCTTCATGGAGAAAATGGAGCCACGAGCTAGATATTTCAATTTTCCTACTCCTATCAATACTTGGGTTCTGTGAGCTACCGCTCTCCAAGGATCATCTCTCATCCAAGACCTTAATATATTCCTCCCACTTGTTTCACATGCCCAAGAGTATCTTCCACTCCTCCATTATCTGCTCCTTCATGTCTTTAATAATTCCGTTGGCTCTCTTAGTCTATAAATGACCTCCAATCTAAGTAAATAATCCTACCACCCTGTCTCCTCTTCAGAAACTTCCCCCCTTACTTCCTTCACCCATGAGGTTATTCGGAAAAGGCAACACTTCCTGTCCGTTCACTGACCCCGAGAGCCTCATCTAGGATCCCTTTCCTCCCACAGAAACACTCTTGCAGCGACTGGCACTGTTCTCATTGCCAAATTCAAAAGCTCTCTCAAGTCCTCTTATAAAACCACTGAATCTGACAGGATTGGTTACCCTCTCCTACTTGGGGGGCCGCCCCTACAGTATGGATTGTATTATTCACCTTCTCAGGCTTCTCTCCTCAATCTTCAAGTTCTGGGCTTCAATGATATTTTGGTAACTCCTTTCTTCCTTCTCCACGGGCAAGTCTTTAATATCAGATGATTTATAAAGCCACCTATGTCAGAGTGTGTTTTATTTCCACTTGAGACCTTTCTCCTGAGTTTTAGCCCCACGTGAGTGTCCACTGGTTATGTTCAATTGGATGTCCCTCAGACACTTCATATCCAACGTACTAAGAACGGAAGTCATCTTTCTTCTCGTCTACCGTCCCAATCCTTCTCCTGTCCTCAATTAACGATATCAATTAAGGCCACAAAAAAAGAAAAAACAAGGTACGTGCCTTTTTCCTCCAAATAATTTCGACTGGTTTACTTCAGCTCCCTCTCTCATACCTACCCTTGTCTCCCTTTCCCATCCCCAGGGTCACAGCAAGAGCAGGTCCTATTTCCTCACCTATAGAACTCACTGACCTCCTAGTCTCTGGCACTCTTTTCCCACCACGTGGCATAACCACCTGAAACAAGTCTCGAATCAAATGCTGCTCCGTTTTCGTCTTTAAAAACCCTCAAAGGTATCAAACAGTGATCCTTAGGAAGGCGAAGACATTTCAAATGGGCTCAACACTAACCTACATTCTCAGTTTCCTCTCTAGCCATACTGTTCTCCAGCCACACTGAACTTGGCGTTTCCTCCAGAACATTCTCACAGGCACGCTCTTGATTCCCTTTCGCACTCGCTAAATACTCACTTGTCATGCACCATATCACCTGCTTCCGTCCGCCACCATCTAACAGGACAAGTCCTCTGCAGTAACAGTCCCACAGTACGTCGCACACCCGCCTGCTATCGCCACACAATTACGCTGTGTGGAGGACACCTCCCTGACCGAGGGCAATCAGGAGGACAGGCTACCACTCACTCCACTGCTACGTTGTTAGCACACCAGTGTTCGGGAACTCAATGGTGGCAGAATTTTGTGTAGACAGGGAAGACCTCATCGTCTCTAAACCCCCAGGCAACACAGGTGACATAAAAATGATATACTGACAGAAGAAGTTTTGTGAGAGCTTTAATGGCACAAAATGTTTATAGCTACAAGTTATACATGTATTGTAAACTGTATATAATGATACAAAGTGCTAACTAAATAGATGAAGAATGCATAATCACTTTGGCTCAGTTAATTCCAATATTTTCAACAACTGGTGCGTTGAAAAATTCATCTGACTGGCTAAGTACTTGATGCTTTTTTTTCTTTTAGAATAGTAAATATTTTTACTGCCATCAAGGTAACTTGTTGCACTTCTCAATGTACAAGTTTGTGCAGTTTTGCTCTTGAGTCTATTTACAGACATTTGAAGCCAGTTTTCATCAAATGTAAGAAAAAAGAAGCCTGTCTTTTCATCTCCTAATTGTAAACAGGTATAAAGCTTTTTATACATTAATCTTAAGTTTCCAACTGTTAATTGTTGAAATGTCCTTTCTAATCATCCAGTCTGTTTCCGTTCAACACAAATCCAAGTAGAAGCACAGACATGCACCCATGTGACAGGGCTATCAATAAATACTGCATGAGCTCAACTTACTACTGTGGTGACATACTCGTGCTTTAAGTAATGGCCCATCATTTCACAGATACTTTAAAAGAACACTAAATTTATTTTCAATATTGAAAAAATGGTAAGTGTACCCAAGTTTAATTGTACTACCTATAGAATTGCTACTGAATTTGGAAAGAGGGCCATAGGCTGCCTGAAAAAAGTTGCTCTTTTTTAAAGAAGAATTTTACTTTTCCCTCCAACTGTAATACAATTGCACATTACAGCAGTTTAGCTATTGAGCTGTCTCAACTTTACCAACCTTTCCCATTTTATTCAGGCTTTTCAGAATCAGCAGGCCATCAAATTAATTTTCTTCCCAAAGAAATTCCAATATGAACACTTGAAATCAATAGATTACAGAAGGCAGATCAAGTGTGACCAGGTGTAAGAGGAAGACAGAAACGAGGTAAAAAGGTGTCCAAAATTATTGAGACATCAAATGCTAGGAAGAAAATTCAGAAAACAATTTTAGGTATATCATCTTTCTTAAAGACAGCAACCTTCTTGAAAAAAGATAGGAATGAATATTTTTGTTTATTCTGTATGTTATGTGCCAATACAACACATCAGTTTTACATACCTTGATGTAAGAGAGAAGAGTTAGAGAGTTGCTACAAACTGGCAAACCTATCTGTCACATAGTGTTTTTATCCAAGTCAACCTGATGTGTTTTACAGATTGCTAATTTTAAAATTAATGATGGTTCTCTTCGTATTCAATAGCAATGTCTATCTCATAAACAGTAATCATTTATATATAAACATATAGTAATATCCTTCAGAGTCATGCTCTGTGTTCCGAAACCCAACAAAATCTACTTGAAATATCTGGTAATCCTGATGCTTTCTTAACGATTTGGTCCTAAAGCTTCACATTTTAGAAACAAACAAACAAAAAAAGAATGCCATTAAAGGAATGTGAGCGTTCTGGAACTTGCAGAGTTGTAACACGAACTGAAAAGATGGCTACATGAGAACATGACCAGCGCCTGCAGCATCACAGGAACCCCCTCGGGAAGAGCACACAGCAAACGTGCACAAGCGACAGATCAGGAGGAGACCAATGGCATCTTTTTGGAATTTATCAACTGTTCCCACAACCCAAGTCTGTTTTTCAAAGTTGCACAAGTGTTTGGAATAACCCTGACCCAATTATCCTCAGAGTGGAAAGGCTTCAGACTATGAGTGGTGCTTCCTAAAACAAGAAGCCTGTATTAACCACAAATTGGAACTCATTCCAAAGTCTCTTCTTAAGAGAGAGGGAAAAAAAAAAAGGGAAAAAAAAATGTCAAGAAAGTCATGAATGATTCACATGCAGCTAATAAACACAAAAATACTAAACACAGACACAAAAATCTGAAAAGCAATTTTCATATATTTCTAGGCCTGAGACATTCCTTATCAGAAATAAAGATTCTACACCATAGAAAAGACAGCATTACAACATACTAGTATTAAAATCTGCTGATGTATTTTAGTTAATTCTATTTCATACCTATCATTTATATAGCCGGCCTCCTACAAATCAAAAGGCGCTATTAGGAGGCTTAGACAAAAAGTGGCTCCAAAGCTGGTTTAAAGTAATTTTTTATTGCCCAGGATATTTATTTTCCTTGTGTCTTGCCTTTTTTGTTGTTGTTGTTTTATTTTCTTTTTAATAACTATAAATTCAAGCTTAGGGAAGCTTGCTTTTGTCTTGGGGAGAAAAAAAATCTAAACAACAAAGCTTTTATATAATTTGCTAACCTGGTCTTGTTTTTAGAGAGAGATAGTAGTTATGTTGCAAGAGTAAAATTTATACCATCAATGATACAGGTCTAAGCCTGGTGGTACTAAGAGGAGACAATAGCTTCACTGACAAAATTATAATCTGCTGGTGGCATTTGCGGAAAAGAAGCCCTTGCAAATTTCTAAACAACAGTAAACTCTGTTAGGAAATTCTAAAGTGTCTTACAGGCCAAAAAGGGAATAAGGTTAGTAAAATGCCTCAACAGAGTTTGAATAAAATACTGGATCTGAGAATTACTGGAATTGGATATGTAAAAATAGGGTGGTAGATTGGGTCATGCTTACAATGGTCTCAAGTTCAAATAAACTACTGTGACAATACACCACTTCACAGGTCACGCATTTCCAGGGGCTCTTCCTTCCCTCAGTAGGTGCTGGCAGAAGGCGTGCTCAGTCTTTTTCCAATATAGATGCTGAAAGGAAGCAGAGGGCATCACAGTTCATTGGTTTCAAACAGTTCCACACCAGCTTGTCCACAGGCTGAGCTCTACTAAAAAACTCAACGTTTCAGTCCTCGTCAAAGGCTCTCAAGGTAGATGTACACAGTTCCCTGGCAGCCTGGACACTCAGAAGTCATCACAGGCTTTCTTAAAGCCAGTCACCAGTCCAGCCAAACTGGTTTGATAGGATTGTTTACTCATTAAGCCAGGACTGGACAGCACAGCGGCACTGATTAGACAGAATAAAGCCCGAGAGAACAGATCCCTCCAGAGAGCGAGGCAGAGTCAATCTGCTCCGAGACGTTCCTTTTGATAGACAAAAGTTCCACTGATATTTCGGTCAAACAATATGCCACAGTATTTTCCTGTCTCATATAGGAAAAAAATGCTAAGGCTGCCAGTGCTTAAAGATAGCTCTTACTAATAACTCGGGTTTTTTGGGGGAGAGGTTTTTGCTATAGGGCGCGTGCACTCGCCAGGAAGACATAGGGAGACAGAGAGATAGAAAGCGAGAAATCACCCCCTAAGTGGGATATCCACGCTGCAATCCCTTTTCCTCCATTCTCCTCTCAGGATCTTGGGCACGCACATACACGCACCCGGCGTGAGTTTAAGCCACTGGGTCCGGGACTTGAACCACAGTCGACTAAATGGGAGTCCAGTGACATAGTCAATATGCTAACTGCTTGTCCCACTAATAGCTCTTGAGGATTACGGGCCTAATATTACACTTTCATGACAAGTGTTTGACCCCTCCTTCGATAACATATGCAGAGGGGAGGGACCTAAAGGAAAACAAGTAACTAGTTACAGCCCCCCAGTGTGATAAAAGTAACCAACTTTTCTTCTCCTTAAATTTGGCAGAGTGGTGCACTCACCAGAGAGAAGAAACAGAGAAGGGAAGTGAGAAAGCATCCCCATGGGACAGTCAAGCTGCATTCCTTTCTCCTCCGTTTCTGTCTCTGGGGATTTTGACTATGCACACAGATGTACCCAGAGTGTTTTTCCAACTGCCAGGTTTAGGACTTGAACCATGCCATCAATCATGCAGGCCTCGGCTGCCCTAACCACCACACCACTGCCTTGCCCCTAACCAACTTTTTAAGCTATTTATATTCGTCTATGATAACAGTTACACTTTCTGTAAAAGAAATGGTCTAAAGATTCATGAACGAGATATGCAAGATACAGACACCAATCTCTCATGAACAAATGAACTACTGTGTGGTCAGAGATGTACTAAGCTCCTACCCCACCTCCACACTACCCCCGTAAGACATTCCCACCTTCCCCTTTTCCCATAAACACCTTCGAAGCATTCTGCTGTATTACTGTCCTAGCCCTCTCTAAAGCAGATCAAGCGCCTGAGGGAGGCAATAGGGTTGAGTGGGAAGTTGCACACATGTCTGTGTTTGTGAATGGGAATCTCTCTTTGCTATGCTGAGCTCCTGAAAGGGGAGATAAGGGATGATTCATCTTTCTGCACATCATCTACAGAAACTGACCCCAGTGAGCATGCCTAGAGTGTAAGAGACACGTCTTTAAAAAATTAACAGCTACTCTTCAGCTGCTAAAATTTTTCAAAAGTGCTTTTCCTCAATTGTTCAAATCAACAATTTAAGAGATATGTCTGAAAAATTAATCAATTACAGGTAAATATGAGGTCAATTTTAGAAGAATAAATGAAATTCTGCTAAGAGGAAAAATAAAAACAGCACACACAGCCAATTTAGCAGTTTCACTCAATGACTATTCAATCTAATGGTGTATTTTCCCATCTGGGGAAAAATATGCATAAATTTTAAAATTTACACTCAAAAGACGAGTTTAGTTTACAAATCACTCAAGATTAGCTAAACTTTAACAACGGCAAAACCTAAGAAGAAAAATCAATCACAGACACATCCATTTTAGAATTATCACTTGGGGGGCCAGCAGGTGGCATCGTGGTTAAGGTGCCGGAAGTGGCCAACTACGGTTTGAGGCCCCGACCTAGTGGCTTGAAACTCATGTTGGGCGCGCACGTGTGTGTGTGTGCGTGCATACCCAAAATCCCAAGAAGAGAATAGAGCGAAAGGACTGTGGCATGGCCATCCCCTCAGGGGGTGATCTTGCTTTTTGTGTTTCTGTCTCTCCACACTCGCCCTAAGACAAAAATACCTCTCTCAAAAAAAAATATTATCACTTAGGGACAGATATGAACATCTTATTTTCAAATTAAGAAATAAACCTTCTGGGACTAGCAGATGACACAGTGGTTAGGTTACTGGACTCACATGGCCAACAGCAGTTCAAGTCCGGGACCCAGTGGCCAGGTGCGTATGTGTGTGTGCCCAAGGTCCTAGGAGAAGAAGGGACTGCAGCGTGGCAATTCTCCCAGGAGGCAACTTCTCACTGTCCCTCTCACTGTGTCTGTCTCTCCTGGCAAGCACATATGCCGTAAGGCAAAAATCTCTAAAAGAAAACACCTTCCCTGTTGTTATTAAAAACGCGTATTGGGGGGTCAGCAGGTGACCTAGCAGTTAAGGTATTGAACTCCAACATGATAAACTGAGGTTCAAGTCCTGGACCCAGCCGTTTGAAAATCATGCCTGGCATGTGTGCCCAAAATCCCAGGGGAAGATGAAAGAAGGAGGTTTGCAGCATGGCCATCTCCCTCAGGGGGTGATTTCTCATTTTCCCTCTCTGTCTTTCTCTGGTGAGCATAAACACCCCAGGGGGAAAAAAGCTTAAGAAAAAAATACTTAATGGTACACCAATTGTGTACCAACTTTAATAATTCATAAGTTAACCTCATTTGCACTAAAACATTAAAAGCAAAACAACATAGGGCCCAGCAGTTGGCGTAATGGCTATGTCACTGGACCCCATGTAGTTGACCGCAGTTTGAGTCTAGGACCCAGTGGCTTTAACTCTCACCGGGCGCATGTGTGTGTGTGTGTGTGTGTGTGTGCACGCGCAAGATTC